TACTTACTGAAGAAAACTGTTGAGCAGGTAGCATGGTAAATTGCTCTTCAATCTTGTTGGCAAACAAAGTATCCCACACCATCCGTGGATTTAAAATATCTAGCTCAGAGCAGATATTTAAGATTATTTACTACAAGCAAGCCGAGGAGAATGAGGAGAATAAGCCCAACGATTATCCCATGAGATTTTTTGCATCCAAAGCTGGTATATGTGGATTCCAGGACTATTTTAACCCAATCTCCCACTAATCCCGCCAAACAAACACCACCTTAGAGAATAACTCATTAATTACAAATATTGGGGGCCGCACTTGTACAGAGTAATTCATTGATTTGTATCTTGTAAATGTAGGAAGAGTAATACTACATGGACTTAAAAATTAGATTTGATAATTATATCTATTGAATAGATAGTGAGTCTCAATAAATATTGGGACCCACAGTAAAATTAATGATTGTAATTATCAAGTCTAATTTGTAAGTCCACGTAATATTGCTCATTTGGGAATCACGTTCATGGCACCCACTGCTATTAAATCACCATCCCAAAGTTAAACTGGTACTCCTTGTTGCAACCAGAGCAATTGCACTGTACTTAATTATGTGTCATTTTCAGGTATTTGAGTCTATATTTTTTTATGCCTTAGGCTCGACCTTGTAGTGTTGATTAGCTAGCAAAAATTTACTAAAACTATAAGTCTTTCAATAAGTTTTTAGGCTTAAACTTAAGATGTCTGAATTTATGGTATCCTAAAGTTCACCCTACACCACTAGACTACTTAGAAGGATTGAAAATATGGAAGTTGCATGCAACCTATGGTGCCAAGAAGGTTTCCTCTATGAATCATATAAGATTGGAATTTGAAAAGAAAAAAGAAAAAGAAAGGGACCACCTATACTGAATCATGCCCATGAACCTAAAAGACAGACCTCGAAAGGTAAAGAATATTATTTCTGCTTTTCTGGTACATCCGAAAGTTAAAGAATATTATTTCGTATTAGAAACAAACCAACCTTAACATAACCCTTTTCGTACTCAATAGGCTTTTATATAAACCCCTACAATGTACTTGGTCCTTACATAACAACTAGCTCTGTGTTGATAACCTTTCTCTTCTTCTCTTTGTCTTGAAGTTCATTCAAAACTCTACAATTAGCTAGCAAAATGCAAGAAGAGAAGAAGATGAAGGTGAAGAAAGGATGGCTTGCAGTCCGAGTCGGGTTAGGAGACAAAGACGGTGGCTTCCAACGTTTTGTCATCCCTATATCATACCTTCACCATCCTCTCGTCTCTAAACTTTTAGAGAAGGCTCACGAGGTGTATGGATACCACACCACCGGCCCTCTCCGGCTTCCATGTTCAGTCGATGATTTTCTCCATCTACGGTGGCAGATTGAAAAGGAGGCGAATAGCCACCACCATCATCACCACCATCACTACCACCAGTATCACCTTCCTGGTTCTTTATCCTTCCGATCTTGTTAGACTTTATAGAGCAATAGTTGTTGATAACTATAATGATAATGCTACTTGTAAGTTTTCTCTTTATTCTTCCTTTGAAATGGGTAGGAAAATGAATGAAGAGATCAATTATCGAACTTATCATCTAGTTTTTCTATGAATGATAAGTGGAAATTTTCATTTAATTTCGCCTGCTACATCCATAAAGAATTTATTTTTTACAATTTCCAAAGATGTTGAACGGATGATGACAAAGCAAAACATAAGAGAAGAGGCTCCGGTAATCTAACCACCTCTATAGTCCTTCGCTGCTCAGTCTTATTTCATATACTGACTTAAACATCTGAAGCTCTTCGTTGGCCTTTCCAACTAATGAACTCTCTGGACTATTTTGATGTCTTGCAAAGCAAGATGAGCATGTCGATATCGAGGTCTAATTCAAGATTAAGAACCTCAAGTGATAATAGAAACGAATTTTTAGTTCAAATCTTTTGAATTCAAACTTTGCTAAATTTTTAGGGCCGGCCACGAGAGATTTATCTTCGTGCATACCCTAGTTTTAATGTGGATGATCTATCTTTGATTAAACCGAAAATGAGATTAATCGAAGTGCACGTAAATTGGCCCGAACACCCCTGACCGTTGAACCGATTTTTTTTTTTTTTGTATCATTAGAATATATAATCATTGGTGATTTACTAAGTTGAGGGTGGGCACTAGCCCATAGTGGCTCCGCTGCTAGTGGAAACTTCATTGCATATACAGTAAGACGTAGAGCCAATTTATAAAAATATGATTTATGCACTAAGAAACATATAGACACTTGTAATATAATATAATAACTAAACACATTTTTATTTTTTCAAATACATTTTTTCTTTCTTAGAAAAATTAATTCGCAAATAGTTACGAAAAGGTACATTTCTATACTTGAAAAGTCATTTTCACAAATCAGACAAGTTTATGTAGGATCATTTTGTACACCATCCCAAAAAAAAACAAAAGGTGTTCTCTTTCTTCATTTTTTTCAAATGGAATGATTTAAAAGATGAGCTAGAAAATAATAGGGCCCCACGCCGATGTCGGGCGTGTCTTTAATCAAATTGATGAAAAAATTAATCGAAGTAATACTTACACTTCTGACCGTTAAAATAAAATAAAATAAAATAATAGGTCAATGGCAACAAAATAGAAATGATGGGTCAATGCCAACAAAGTGGGTGACTGCACTTGGAATGGTGCTTAATTGCTGTCAAACATATACTTATCTCTTGCCATCCAAATGTGACACACCACACTTGGCTAGAAAATCCCCCACATATGGAGAAATTTCAATGCCTTAAAGTCACAAGCAACTTGGAATAGTATTCTTCGACACCATTACAGCCTAGCAGAAAAGGAAATCAGCATGTTAGGTTCGGATATTATGGGTGGAATTAGAATAAACTAATTTAATGGTACTTAAATACAATGTTTGGATCATGTTATACGATCCGGATTTGTAAAAAAAGATCATATACATAGTACGGAATAATCTTACGTGATAGATGGCATAGCATTAATTGGGTTAGTATTAGGATCAAAAATAACAAAGGTGGCCCTGATTTGAGGATAGACTGACACATTATCCCTGATCTTAAACTAAATATTATATACAAGGGATATAATAAAATAAAGACTAACTATTACAGTAAATATGAATTAGATTGGAATCAGACTCAATCAGTTATTCAATCTCATATTGTGTTGTACCAAAACCAAACACCCCTGTAATTTAAACAATCTAGTTCAATGTCCATGGCACAGCCCAACAAGGTCAAACAGATTATTGAGTCCATCTTTTCGGTGGCGCTTGATTTTCAAAGGTTTAACCACTTACCTATAGACTAACTGTTGCCTACTCGTTTGGTAATGATAGTTTAAAGTACCAACTCGTATTTTTAAACCATAGAAATAGTATCATACTAAAATTTATTCAACATATACATAATTTATTTATAACCGTATCATGTATTAACCATTTTTCTATAATTTTATAAATCGTGATAAAATTATGAGACCTGGGATAAAGAGAACATGAAATTGGAAATAGGGGTATAACTTGAACAGGTTGAGAGGTCAATCATAATCCAACCATAGGTATATAATCTTTCATTCTAACCCTACCTCAACCCGAGTACTACCCAAGTTTAATTTGGGCGGACTCAAGTTGAATTCGAATTATTTAATTCAGGCTGATTTCGAATTGAAAATCGAATTGAACTTGGATTACTTAATTCGAGTTGATTTTTGTAAGTGTATATTTGATTTTTTCAAGTATAAATCTAATTTTTTTCAAGTGATTTGAAATGAAAGGCGAGGCGCAGAGGGAAAGGGAGTGAGAGAGGAAAATTGAGAGTCTAAAACGACTCAGACAAGTAACAATTGAAAGAGGGAGGCTGAGAGAGAGAAAGAGAGGAGTGACGAGTGAGAAAATAATCTAAAAGTGATAGAGGCGCAAGAGTGAAGACTTGAAATAAAGTGAAAGTCTGGACTCTAAAGAATGAAGATAATTACTAACTCTAGTTAAATATATTTATATATATTCAAGTTCAACCCGATTTAATAATTGAGTTCTAACTCGATTTTAATATTTGAATTGAACCCGACAACTCAAGACTTGTGCAAATTCAATTCAAATTGAAGTTTTTTGCGCAGACTAAACCCAAATATTAAAAATTTTAACCTAAGTCCTATTTTTTCGAATTAAACTCAGATTGAATTCGAGTTAACCCATCCAAATTGCACCCCTAATTGAAAGTTATACAATTCTAGAACTACATGTATCATATCGAATTTCTAAGCTACTTTTAGATCCTTTGAAAGGATGGAATTAACAGTGACAAGTCAAAATTGTCCACAGGAGCCCCCAACGGAGGTGAACCTGAACCTGAATATCTCGCTGTTATTTTTTCCTTTGTTTGGAGGCACCTCACTAGAGAGCTATAAAACAAAACAAGCCTCCTGAGCTTAGTTCAAAATCAAATTGTTAAAAATTTATTCAAGATCGACTCATATCATACATAAGAGTGTCAAAATATGACACAACTTGTTAACACGATACAAAATTATAAAGTTTGAATTTTCCTTAAACCACCTGTTTCGTAAACAAGTAGACCCAACACGACATTATTAATAAACAAATCGGATATAAATTAAATCAATCAAAAGAAATACACGGTACAACTTATTTATATACCGATTATATACGATCATATACGACACGAACCTAAAATTACACGACTCATTAGACACGACTTAATAAATGAATCGGATATAAATAGAATTTTTTTGACATAAACTCCCTAAAACCCACCATGAAACATGATTGATAGGAACTCATATCAGGGCTTCAAAATTTTTTAGATTGCCCCTTCAACTATAATATATTTTACATTGCACCACATCTCGGCAGAAGAAGCTCGATAAGACAAGATGGTCAATGATCTAACCCACCGATCCCAAATAGGAGCAATTGTAACATCGCCAGAAGGTTGTCTTCATGAACCTCTAAGGACCACTTGTTCTGCATTACCACGACAATTGAGAAGCCATATTTATTCAGCTCAAAGTGATCAGTACGAGGCACGCATAATTCTTGTTCTAAAGAATAATAAACACCTCACAAATGACATTTGCACAAAAACGACCCCATAATCATGTCTTAACAAGAAAAAGTAGAGGTCATAAGCGAAAGATAACAATCACATGACTAACTCGGGAGGATAAATGTTGAGCATCGACTGGCGAGGAACTTAAGAGCATGTGCAGTGAAGCAGACCCCAAAGCATCTCATTGTAGCTGACTCGGAAATCACTGATTCACCAAAAAGGAACGGGTCATCAACAGCTCTGATACAGATGAAAAAAAAAGTGTCTAATATATGAACACGATAGCCAAGAGTACATCAATGGATAACACATGCAGAAAGATTCTGAAACATATCACAACAGTAGTCTGTGTTTTAAATTATATGAAGTCTACAACCTCCTATGTGCTCCTAAAAAAAAGCTGCCTTTACAGCACACAAATAAAAGGAATTATACCATAGGATAAATATTCTGATGCCTATATTAAGATTGAGACAGAACTTGTGGAATGACAATTTTTTTTTTCACGTCATAATACAAATTACATCAGAACCGAAACAGTGAAAGTCCATGACATCAATATTGTAAATCTCACAATTGCCAATCATTCAACAGTCAGCTTCTAAAACTAAAATAAGGAGGAACCATATCTTGTTTTGGTTCAATCATTAGTATATGCATTATTTCAAGTGGTCCATCCAAACTTGAGGGTCAGCAATAACAATGGCTAATTGGCAAATGAACATAAAAGGCGGATTTCTAAAAAATTGAAGTACAAAAGAAACTATGACTCAGACAACTCGACAAGACATCCCTGAGTCAACCATGAGCCAGGTGAGACTCGTGGTTTACAAGAAACACAAAACAGTATGGGAACAGAATGGGCCAAGTCATATTGGAATAGTCTGTTCTTTGAACTATGTTGGGTTCATTTAAACACTATCACAAAAGCATATAATTCTTCTACCTTCTTATAGAGGTTGATATGGTAGAAGGTCCTAGGTATTTGTTAGAATATTATAATGCAACACTTAGACAATGAGCAAAAGAGAATTCGGCCAAGTTAAACTCGTATTCTTGCTAAAGACATAGAAAGTTTCTAATGAAAACAAATGAACAAAGGTCATGCTTCAACTTTTAACCTTGCTAAAGGCTCATACTTCTTTCTCACCTTTTAAAGCCAGTGTATTGGAAGATAAGACAAATATATCAATGATGAGAACCACAGAAGAAGGGAATTCCCAGACCTATAGAAAGCATAACCAAAATTAGATGGATATATTCAGTCGTGTTGATACCTATAAAGTACATTAAATGTGACAATGAAGAAACAGAAGGATGTTGCACAGTGGGTTTATGTTAGTTAAGTAACTAATGGCCAAGTACGACAAGAAATCATACCATCATAGCAATAAAAAAGATCTTGAAGTAACTTGAAACAAGGATTGAGAGCAGTATGTCTCTATACCTGTCCAGTTCGAAACAATTGTAAACTGAGATATCTTTTCAAGTACAAAAGGCTCAAAAATATAAAACCCAACATTGCTCAATAGAAATCATTCCAACTACTACTCGTCAGCTACAAAAATCTTTTGGCCATTTTGTATCAATCCACATCTCTTTTCACACAAAAATACTAGACATACAGTTAGCCTTTCCTCTCATTTTTCACAACTATAAACCTAAACCAACTCTTCCCTTCATATAGGCAATCCACAAACACACCACATACTTACTGGAAAAAAGAATCTCAATACAAATGACTAAAGCATCTCAATCGAACATATCATCTCGCCATTTGCGATATTACCTCTACCTTCTTGTGAGTGCCATTTTCTATTCAGTCCTTTTTAGAGTGCTCATTCTATGTTAAAACATTCACATTTCAGCTGCAATCGTTTAGTGGACATGTGTTTCAAAAGTCAAAACATTCGATGGTAGTCATACCGTTATGTGATAAAATATACCTATTGCATCCATAGTTCTCAAATCGCGATACGTATCGTAAATCGGAATCCTAAATTTGTGAATCGTAAATCATATCGAATCATGAATCGTAAGATTCAACATAAAATTTGAACAAAACTAAAAAATAATATTTACATATTTAAAATAGGCAAAATATTGAATATTGAATATTATTTTATTATAAAAATAATCAATTGACATCAAATAATCACGTCGTCTAAATAGAAAGACACTGGTCTTTTACTTCATTTTCATCTTTTACTTAATCATTTTCAAATTCAACAACTTAAAAAAAATTGAAATAAAAAATTAGAACCTAACAAACTATCCATAAAAAGAATTGAGAGCAAGAATCAAAATTTATTCTAAAATATGGTGACAGAAGATAGAAAAATCTAATGTAAAAAAAAAAAAGAAAAAAAGGCATGCTAGTGCTTGCTAGTTAAGAAGAATAAGAAAAGGAGGAGGAGGAGGATGAGCAGCAGGAGGCATACCTTAAGTCGACGACGCAATAGCTTTAGTCATGACATTCAGCTTCAAACAACGTGAGGTGAGCAAAGAGGCTGAGTTTTGATTAGGACGTGGGTTCCTCTATAAACAAAACGACGTCATTTACTTTTTAGCAGAAAAACGTCATTTTGCCAAAAAATTTGAGTTTTAAAAAAAAAGTGACTGAATCATGCAATTCATGCGATACGAATCGAATCGTATGATTCAAAGGCTATTCAGCTCTAAAAACGATTCTCATATCAAATATAAATCGTTTTGTGACTGTATCGAACTGAATCATGTGAATCGTACGATTTTGATAACTATGATTGCATCTCTCCCCTGCATAATATCCTCTCAACCTCTCACGCATGTAGGAAATCATCTAACATACACAATATGGGGTCAATACTACTCAATTTGGGTTATGCAAATCCCTGAAAATTGAGAAATCATACAAACTTGTAAAAAAATGTCCAGACATTGTTTTTTTTTTTTTTTTTTTTTTTGCAACATATATTTTGCGTTTAATAAATAAAGTTGTTAAGTTTAGGACTAATTGTTAAGAAGAAAGATAAATAGAGGAATTGTGTGAAAGGAGGTAGAGAAATTGTTACCCTACCTCTCACTCTCAACTCATTTATATGTCTATAATAAACATAAAACACGAGTATACCCATGCATGGTACAATTATTACAACATATAAAATAAACATAAATAATAATACTCTCAACACTCCCCCTCAAACTGGAGTGTATATATTATATAGTCCAAGCTTGGAACAAATAACTGTCAAACGAGTACGACTTAAAACTTTGGTAAACATATCCGCAAGTTGGTCTTCAGACTTCACAAATGGTATCACAATATCTCCTCTTAGTATCTTCTCCCGAATAAAATGACAATCAACCTCAATATGTTTGATCCTCTCATGAAATACTGGATGTGAAGTGCTGCTTGATTATCGCAAAACAACTGTAAAGGAGGTTGAATCGGGAAACCAATCTCTTTAAGAAAGTGTTAAAACCACGTCAATTCACTCATGGTATGTGTCATTGTCCAATATTCAACTTCTGCACTAGATCGAGCTACCACAGTTTGTTTCTTACACCTCTAAGAAACCAAATTGTTCTCTAAGAAAGTACAATAACCAATAGTCGATAGAGATGGCAGTGGACCGGGAAAAAATGGGTATTTGTCCAAACCCACCCCGCTTGGACTGGGAATGGACTATACGTATTGGACGGTGGACGTATACGGGGATACCTGTATAAACCCGTACTGGGATAAAGGCGGGGATGGACTTACCCTTACCCCAGCCCCGCCCCTGCTACATTTTAAATATATATATATATATACTCTCAAGCCCTAACTAAACATATTTACTATAACTACCAATTTAAAAATATGGTAATTAAACTAACAAGTGACATTACTATATGGAATCTTATCAACTTTTTTCCCTGATTATTCTTTTTTCTATTTGTGCTCATTGATTGAAACTGATAAGAATTTGGATTGACCATGCTCTAAAAACAGATAAGAGAGAGTAAGATAGTTTTGCATTTAATCGTGGATAGAAATATTGTGAATGGAGGTTAATGAGTCTCTCTGCTAGAGTGAACTAAGAAATGGAAAAAATTATTGAATTAACGAAATTTTAAGTTTTCATCGTTTAACACTTTATAATTGTAATATGAATTGTAATAACAAAAATTTTTTTAGGAAACTTCAAGTGTAATGCTATCGTTTTCTTAGTTCAATTTTATTTTTCTTTTCTTCCTTTCTCTCTAATAGTTCTGTTTCTCTTTTTGTGGTCCACTGACCCTTTAAATAGAATACTATATTATTTTAACTTTTCATTTTGCAATCTACATTATGTTATGTTAGATTATTTAGAATGTTGTTGAATTATTTAAAATATTGGATTTATTTAAAATTTTGGATTATGCTACTTGGGATTGAGCTTAGACCTGGGTCTAGGCTTTGGGTTGGGCTTGGTCTTGGTCTTGGGCTTGGGCGGGTATGGGAGAAGCGGGGACGGGGACGGAGACGGGGATTAGAAATTTATCCGAGGACGAGGATGGAAATAAAAATTATACCCGTTAATGAAGGTGGACCGGAGATGGATGAAGTTTTTTAAGTGGGTATGGGGATGAAGACTACACTCCTCGCCCCCGCTTCAGTCCACTGACATCCCTAGCAGTCGACCTTCAATCGGAAGGAGATCTAGCCCAATCAACATCCGTAAAACCATTCACTCTAAGATGCCCATTTGGTCGATACAGCAATCCAAATCCTGGAGTCCGTTTAAGATATCGAAGAATATGAACAACAATATCCCAATGTGGTACTCGATGTGCTCCCATAAATTGACTCACAACACTTACAGCATATACAATATCTGGCCGAATAATAGTAAGATAATTTAACTTCCTAAACAATCTGCGATACCTGTCTGGATTCTCAAATAATGTACCATCATCTACCAAAAATTTCGGATTCGAATCCATAGGAACATCAACTGGTTTGCCACCTAGTAAACCTGATTCCTCCAACATATCAAGTACATATTTTCTCTGAGACAAACTTATACCCTACTTAGATCTAACAACTTCGATACCTAGAAAGTACCGAAGTTTGCCTTGGTCTTTGGTATGAAATCAATGCTGCAAAAAAAATTTCAACTTCACAATACCCTCAAAATCATCGTCAGTAATCACAATATCATCCACATACACAATAAGTATAATATGACTTGCACCAGTACGTTGGTAAAATATGGGGTAATCTATTTGACACCTAGAAAGACCAAAATCTAAAACAGCTTCTGAAATCTTAACAAATCATGATCTTGGTAATTGCTTCAGACTATACGGGGACTTTTTTAATCGACACACACAACCACAATACTCCCCCAGAGCAACAAACCCAAGCGGTTGCTTCATGTAAACCTCTTCAGCCAAATCACCGTGCAAAAAGGCATTTTTAACATCTAATTGAAACAAAGACCGATCAAGGTTAGCAGCTAAAAAAATCAATACACGATTAGAGGAAATCTTAGCAACGAGGGAGGTCTTATCATAATCAATGTCATAAGTCTAACTAAAGCCCTTAGCAACCAATCGAGCTTTCAAACATTCAACCGAACCATCAAGGTGAAATTTTATAGTGTAAAACCATCGACAACCAACAAGATTTTTACCACGGGATAATGGAACAAGATCCTAAGTTCCACTATGATGTAAGGCATCCATCGCCGCCTCCATAGCTTTCCTCCAGTCCAGATCAGATAATGCTTCCAGTAGTGTCTTAGGAACAGAGATAATGGATAATTGAGATATAAAAAAGGAGAAACCGGGAGATAAAGTGTCATAAGAAACAAAATGACTAATAGGATTGTTAGTCACACAAGACCGTATACCTTTGCAAAGAGCATTGGGCAATGAATCTGAAATAATAGGAGGACTCGGATCAGTAGACGATAAGGAGGATGGAGGTGGCACTTCGACGAATGGTCTTGGATGGCAAGAATACACCGATAATGGAGTGGTAGAAAATGGTAATGGTGAAGCTAGAGGACGTGATAAGGTAGGTAACACAACAGTTGGCAATAGAACGAGAGAGGAAGTCAAAGATGGAGTAAGACCAAAGTCAAGCTCAAGAGTTTCAATGACAACAGGAAAATATGGTATAGACTCACAGAAGGTTACATTAGCACCGGTGAAATAGCAGCGAAGCATAGGACTATAGCAACGATAACCTTTCTGAGTGTGCGAATAACCAAGAAAGACACTTTGTAAAACGGGGATCAAGTTTATCAAAACCATGACCTAAATTATGAACATAGCAAACACAACCAAAAATCTTAGGTGAAATGGAAAATAAGGGAGATTGAGGAAGAAGAACTGAACGTGGAGACTGCCATGTAACACAAAAGAAAGCATAGATTAATAAGATGACAAACAAAAAGAACAGCATCACTCTAAAAATGCTTGAGAACATGCAAATGAAATAGTAATGCTCGAGTTACTTCTAACAAATGACGATTTTTGCATTCTGTCACCCCGTTCTATTGTGGGATGTGAACACAAGAAGTCTAATGAACAATGCCCTTTTCACAAAGATAAGTGGCAAAGGGATCATAACTATATTCTCTACCATTATTAGACTACAAAACACGTATTTGACAACCAAACTGAGTTTTGATTTATTTACGAAATATGCGAAATATGGAAGGCAATTCAAAGCTGGCTTTTAACAAAAATAATCAATGTCATACGGGAATAATCATCCATAAATGACACAAAATATATGAATTTATTTGATAGACATTCTTTAATGGACCCAGACATCAGAGTGAATCACCTCAAAGGCACTCAAGACACGATTATTTAGTCGAGGCATAAAAGTCCCATGGTGATGCGTATTGAACTGGCAGGCTTCACAAGATATAGAGGATATAGAACTTAGACTAAGAATTTGATGCTTCAAAGTGGAAAGAGATGGATGACCAAGACAACAATACCATTGAAAAAGAGATAACGAGGATTGAAAGACTTTAAAAGATGGTTTGAAATCGAAGTAATAAAGACCACCCGCTTAATGCCCCGTACCAATCTTCTTTTTTGTCTTTTGATCCTAAAACACACAAGACAAAGGATAAAAAGTGATAAAACAATTAAGAGACTTAGTAATTTTGCTCATAGACATCAAACTAAAAGAAATTTTGGGAACAAACAAAACTGAGGTCAAAGACATTGGGGGACTCAACTGATTGTTCCCCAAACCAGACACCTGAGATGAAGAACCATTAACTAGAGTTGCACTTTGACAAGCATTTTGACAAAGAGTAACAGGCTGATAAGCAGCCAAATGAACCAGTCATATGATCAAATGCACCAAAATCTATAATCCAAGGATTGTATATGGAAGACAATAAACACGTAGAAGTAGCCAAAGAGGAAGACGGAGTTGCCTTTTTCTAAGACATGAGCCGAGCATATTCCTCTGGCGAGATGGTAATCCACTCTGAGTTGATAGGTGCAAAACCGAACGATGATGCATGCGATTGGGGAGCACTTAAGTGAGATGTAGAGAAGTGAAGATCAGGTTTAGAAGACATTTCAATCAAAAAATAAAATAAAATAATCAACACTGATCATGAGATTAACCCTCAAGAAATGAGCTAAAGCAAAACCAAATCAAGCTAAACCAACAAGCAGAAGCCCGCACTAGGCCACACAAATGCTAAACCGAAAGAAAACAACCTCAAAAGTGATGAACCAATGTTGAATCAGCCTAAAACTGGACTTGGTTAGATGAAAAACCAATTGTACCCCTCAAAAACTAGGTTGTAACCCACTGAACCAGGCTCAAATTTGAATGAGAACCACTGAACCGACCACAAATCTAATGGAGAACCACTGAACCGGCCTCAAATATGAAAGAGAACCATTGAACAGGCCTCGAATCTGAAGTAAACTCACTGAACTATAGTTGTTAAATCGTGTATCGGAAGGCATATCGTTTTAAAAAAATAATGTATTGTATCGTATATCGTAAGATACGCGCATTGTAAAAAAATCACACTTTTAATAACCTTAATATTACACTCATAATAAAAAAAAAATCATACACTCATAATAGCATAACATTTCATTAATATTCCACCAAGTATTAAAGTTCCATAGTTCAGTAATATAAAATGCAAAGACCTCTAATTCAAACATCTAACATCAACTGCTTGAATAACCTTAATATTACTCAGGAATTTTAAATTCAATTAAATAACGTTTACAACAAATTTTATTTCTTTTTTTTAAACCATAACCACTGAAATGATGTTATTTCACTGATTAGTGATTAAAAAATAAATCATAGGATAAAACGATGTCATTTCAACTCTAAAAAATCAAAAATAAAAAAACAGAATCGTCATATATCGTATATATCGAACGTATCATATAATGTATCATACGATACAGTGCAAAAACGATACAGACACACGATATGTATCATTTTTCAGGTGTATCGTAACATATCGTACGATACGTATTGCGTACGTACGATACTAGTAACGATGCACTAAACCGAGATGAAATCCAATAGAAACCTAGTGAACTGGGATGAAATCCACTATAAAACCATTTAACCAGGCTAAAATCCACTATAAAACCATTGACCCGGCCTGAAATTTTAAAGAAGATTACTAAAACGGATTAAAACAAAAGGATGACTGAATTGGCCTTGTATTGCCCTAATTTGTGGACTTGGGTCATGAGGTTTTAACGTTTAAGTAACTAAGTCAGGTCAAATCTCTTACAACCCGATTCACGAAGTAAGCTGGGTCATGGAGCCTTTCTTCTTCTATCAGGTCGCTGTAGCACTGTAAATGCTAGACCAACTACAGAACGATGACGCCAAGGAGTTCTAACAAAGGCGAAGGAGTGACTGGTCCACAAAACCAATAACGAAGCTGTTTGATTTCTTCCTAACCCAAATAACAATTTCACTGCTACACACCAACGATGACACATAGATCACAGTAATGGCAAGATATGATTCTGAACACGACCACAGCACCCATTTAATCACAAACTGATTTCGAACTTGAATCACAATCACAGCTCACAGCACCGTGACACTAAGCCTCGACAATGGCAACAACAATCAGAGACTCCAACATTAATAGTATTCAACAATCAACAACACTAAACCAGCCATTAACGTCGTGCCTCTGTAATAACTTTCTAGTCAACTTTCTTAGAGCAAAACATGCTGCGGCTAATAGCAATTAATTGCTTTGGTTCAGGACACACAAACCAATATCTAACAAGGAACCAGCAAGGGAAAAGAGGGAAACAAAATAACAGACAAGTAAAAAAGGAACAATAAAAAGAATCTATTTAGATTCAAGTTCGGATCAGATGTGGCTCTGATACCATGTTAAGTTTGGGGTTACTTGTTAAGGAGAAAGATGAATGGAGAAATTGTGTGAAAGGAGGTAGAGAAATTGTTACCTAACCACTCACTCTCAACTCATATTTATATGTCTCCAATAAACATAAAAGACGAGTGAGTATACACATGCATGTTACACTTACTACAACATATAAAATAAACATAAATAATAATACTCTAAACAAAAGCAAAACCTATTAACTACAGATGTATCACCACATCATGTTGTGTGGAGTACACATACAATCTTTTTCTCTATACAATGCACAATTCATCAAATACGAATATTAGTTATTCTAACGATAAAATGACTATTTTTCAAAGTTACGGCCCACAGCATTATCGAAAAAAGGTTTTGCTTCACAATGATCATCAACTTGTGATCACAATAAAGGATGATGGCACCAGAAACACTCTTCATAGGATCTCAGGTATCTCTATTCTCTCTCTCCCTGCTCCTCTCCTTCTCTCTCCTCCTCCTGCAAGAGTCATTGTCAAGAATTCATCGAATAGTTTAGAGGTAGGTCAGTTGGGTTCTGTAGTGTCAATCAAGATAAGATTCGGTACCATATTAGAATCGAGAGAGAGAGAGAGAGAAACGGAGAAAGAGATGCTCCAATGCTCACCGATATGCATATCTAGTCAGCATTCAATTCCAAATCCTAACCCTCAAACTGCAAACAATTCGTACACAAATTATCCGAATAAGTTGAATTCAGAACCCTAACTCCTTTTCGCTGATTGAATTCAGATGATATTCCAAATTTTTCCAAGAGGGGAGCAGGAGTGGCAGGAGGGGAGTAAAGAGGGAGAGAGAGGGAAAAGTGACGGATAAAAAACTTTGATCTACGGGCCAGATAATAAGTCTAGAAGTTGGAAAACTTATGATTTGATCCTCAACTTCTAACCATGATATAAGTTAAGCTAATCAATGACCACCACATTCCTCAATTTCTAGCCAGGGAATTATCATGAAGGAAAACATGTCAATCAACAATAGAGAAATGCTTACCCAAAAATCCCAGCCGATGTGTTCAGCAACTTTCTTGTCCCAAGGAGCAACGTGCCAAGAAAAATGAAGTTTCCACAGAAAACATCCATCAATGTCTACGATGCAATGGCAAACCCGTTTCAATACAAACAATACAAAATCCAAATAGATCAGAACCAATAACATAAACCTCATACACTACCAAAAAAACAAGTGCAACCTTTTCACAGCTCCACAGAACTGAATCAAAGCCCACAGACAAACTCAATCTCTGTTCAATTCCACTCAAAAGCAATATCCTGTCTTGGGTAGCTAAGGCTTGTTAAATATTGTTTACATCACAAATAAATCAGTGGAAAATAATTTTCAAACAACAAAAACTAGATCAAATGGATACAAGCATCCAAAAGAAGATACATGAAAGCAACTTTCCAAAAGAAGCCCTGCAAAAGAGATTAGTGCGACAATAATGAAGTCAGATTTCTGTACTGTCCAATACAATATCAATGGAGGTTGCTTATAACAAAATGAAATAAGAAAGTCCAATGCCACAACCCATATTGGAAAAAATTAGACTAAACTCAAGGAGTCAAGTTAACCTGCATAGTGAGTGATGAAAACAAAAAAATAAATTTCATCTATTAGATATTGAGTACGTTAAACTTCAACATATGACACTAAAATAAAGTAACATTTATTCAGCCTATATATGTTGAACCTTAACGTACCCAATATCTAATAGATGAAATTTATTTTTCAGTTTTCATCGCTAACCCTTTTAGCCAACATAATTATGCATACAATACAATACAATACAAATGGGAGAAAAAAAAACCAACAACTTCGCACTACCTCAAAGTTCAGAGCCTCTCCAGACAACACGTTGAAGAACAAATGTCTATATGCCTTTGCCTTGTGCAAAATCAAATCAATCAGAACAATCTACAACATATTAGAACAGCAATTTAAATAGCTTCAAAAAAAAAAAAATCAAAACTTGACAGAGAAAAAAAAAATCAATGATTTTGAAACTTTTATTACCATGATCTCACATTCGATGTATTCGTCCGCAACAGCTTTGCAATTATCCTAGAAGAAAAATATATATCTTTTATCACTAAACTGAAAGCGGAGAAATTGGAATTAGAATTCTCAAGAGATGGAAATTAAAAGAGAAATGAAAACCCTTACGCATTTCATTAGCCGGATATTCCCCGGAGAGTATTGTATGTACAGGGTTTTGTTCGGAAACCCACATTGAATGCATCGGAATTCCATTTGCTTCACTGTAAATATACCAACTAAACCAGAGGGCAGTTGAAGATGAAGCTATACAGGTAGTGTTGAAGACAGGATGTTACCAACATGTTGTTCCCTCAATTTTTCCGCCAATAGATTCTATAGAGAACTCTCAAGCCAACCCAAAACTCAACGTGGCACTGATTGAACTCGTCTTAAGACTGAGCTGAAAAAAAGAGAGATTGAACTCGTCTCCAGAATTGAAAAGAAATAAATTCCTGAGAAAGAAGCACTACCTGAACCACCCTCTACGATCCTATTCAACCAAATGGAAACCCGCCCAAGAATTGAACCATTTCCATGGTTCAGCCCAATTCAAAACTCAATCGTCACACAATGGGTGAGAACGAAGAATTGTAATCAAACAGAGAGACGTGTGGGTGAATCTGTGCCGGTGGTTGGGTTTATAGAGCGGCTGAGGGAGTGTTCGCGTGGCGAAAGGGAGTAGTGGAAGCAAAGGGGAGAGAATCGGAAAGGTCAGGAGGAAGAGAGGATAGATTGAATTTTTCGGCCGGTTAGGGGCAAGATCTCTGCCAGAGAGAGAGAGAGAGAACTGCCGGGGCGGGGCGGTAGTTTTGTTGGGCTCCCACCAATTTTATAAGAATCTAAACATCCTCCAATTCAGTTTTAATTTTATAAGAATCTAAACATCCTCCAATTCAGTTTTAATAACTCAGAGCAATAAGGGAGGTTTTATTTTGGGTGTCAAATCACTTATTTATAATTTTGAATAATATTTTGATATTTTTGAATTATAAATTTGTTTCAATAACAGGTGTCATTTTTATATTTTTATTCATCAATTTATACGAATAATTGAATTTATATGAATCGTTGGATTTATATTCATCTAACGGATTTATATTCATCTAACGGATTTATATTCATCAACTCATTTGTAACATCTTTCTTTCTCTCTCTAGAGTTGCCAAAAATGTTACCCTAAGAGTCTTGATGTTATTTTTCAACTCTTAATGCCACCCCCTTGTAGTAAAAATTTTTAAATTTGGGTTGGCATATTGGGTTATCACCCTTGATGCCACTCCCCCTTGGAGTTGCTCTTACACACACGCACACACACATATATATAAAGTATAATACAATTCAAATTTTAAAAATAAATAAAATAATTTTTTCTTTTCGAGGTTAAAATTTTTTAAAATTTTATTTAAAAATTAATCCAACGATTAATATTCATACTCCAAATTTAATAGAAAAATAGGTCAAGATGTGATTGAGATGACTTTTCAAAAATACTTCTATTACTTATAACTTCTCATAAGTACTTTAAAAAAAACAATAGTATTTGAAATCACCACACCACCACCACCACTACCATCACCACCCCCACCAACATCAACACTACCACTACCACCACCATCTCCACTGCCCCATCCTACCCCCACCACCATTAACACTACCACCATCGTCGCCACACCACCACCGTCATCGCAGCCCCACCACCACCACCATCACCCTCATCGCCCCACCACCACCATTACTGTTGTCGCCAGCCTATCACCACCACCACTATCCAACCATCACTCCAACCACCACCACTACTATCACTATCCAACCATCACTTCTACCATTACTATCACTTTCCAACCACCACCCCCCACTCCACCACTACCACCACCACCATTGCTGCCACCCTATCACCACCGTTATTGTCCGATTATCACCTCTATCACCACCCTCTGCCACACCACCGCCCCCCATCACCATCACCATCGTCGTCACCCCCACCATCACCCCACCTCATTGCTCCACTGCCACCACTATCGTCATTTTATTCTTATATTTATTACTACTACCATTATCATCCCACTACCATAGTTGCCCACCATCAACACTCATCACCACCCACTACCGCAACCCACCATAACTCGTCGTCGCCCACTATTATCGTCAACCACTATTACCCACCCCCCACAACACCTACCACCACTATCATCACCGCCATTCACCACTACTCATCACACTATCACCTAAAAGCACTTGTCGTTCCCCGTCGTCGCCACCACAGTCGTATCCCCTACCACCGCCACTGCCGTCCACCCCCAATACCACCGTTCACCCTCATTATAATCGGTACTTAAATTCATTTTTCTCTCCTCTATGTTTGTGATTTAATTTTTGGTATGAATATAAATATGTTTATCATTGACCTTTTTTTTATTACTCTATGCCTTCAAACAGGAGCAATAACTAGTATATTAATATAATCTTATATTTACAAACTTTTTTACCAACTTTTTTATTCCAAGTGATGTGACACAATCTTTATTATTGAATATTAATAAGACTCACTTATTTCATGGTAAAAATTGTGTCACATTACTTGAAATGAATAGCTTGATAAGAACTCTTGGTTAGCATAACATTGTTGTTAATATATTTAGCAAATTCAAAAAGTTCTCTAAATTTTAAAACATATTAAATTTATAGATAAATATAAATCTTAAAGATTTAATATTGAATTGAAAAATTCTCCAATTCTTGTGAAATTACAGAGGATCTAAATTGTGGAAATGGGTTTCAGTGGTGGGAAGCGAGTGTTTTGGAGATGGAGGAACGGAAAAATATTTGATGCAACGGTGATATATGTTAGCATTGTCATATGGTATCACTATCCAATATATGTTTTTAAATAAATAAATAGATCTCATACAAATTAATAACTATCCCTCTATGTAATACAATCACTATCTACTTTCATTCCATAAAAGTCAACTAGTTATTGCTCGTGCCTGAAAGCACGAAGTAATAAAAGAAATTGTCAATCATAAATATATTTGTATTCACACCCAAAATTAAATCATAAACATAAAGGGGATAGAAAAGAATTTAAACATTGGTGGTAACAAGGGTGAATGATGGTAGTGGTGGTGGACGACGATGGTGATGGTGGAAGACAGTGATGGTTGTGGTGGGTGGCGACGACCATGGTGGTGGTGGTAACGATGACGATGGTGGTAGGTTTTGGGTGACGACGACCATGGTGGTGGTGGGTGTGGGTGGTGGTGGGCGACAATGATGGTGGTTGGCAGTGGTAGTGATGGGATGATGATGATGGTGGTGGTGGCGATAGTGGGTTGTGTTGGTAGGCAGTGATGATAATGGTGATGGTGGCAACAATGATGGTGGTGGTAGATTTTGGGTGACGATGGTGGTAGTGGCAGTCATGGGTGACGACGATGGTAGTGGTGGGTGTGGGTGGTGGTTGGCGACGATGATGGTGGTTGGCAGTGGTAGTGGTGGGGTGATGACGATGGTAGGGGTGGCGATGGCGGGTTGCGTCGGTGGGCAACGACGATGGTGGTGGTGGGCGACGATAGGTGCTTGTGGGCGACGGTGGTGGAAGTGGGTGATAACGGGTGTAATGGTAGGTGTGGTGGGGGTGGGTGACAATGGAAGGCGACGGAGGTAAGTGACGACGAGTAGTGGTGAGTTGTGGTAGCGGATAGTGGTAAGCAACAATAGTAGTGGTGGTGGCTGACGGTGGTGGCGGGATGATGGTGATAGTGGTAATAAATAAAAAAATGAGATGATAATGATAGTGGTGGGTAGTGGTGGTGGGCGGCGATGGTAGTTATGAGACTCAATCATGCATTGCATACATATTAACATAGTTATGTGGACTAATTGCAATTATGTGAAATTATTTATTAGATAGAATTTTGTATATAAAAATAGTATTGGGTTGATTTTAAAATCACTTAAGAATTTGGGGGAGGCAAGCATAATTATTAAAGTTGCATGAGATAACTTTACATGTGTTAACATATGAACAAGGGTGGTCATTTTTAAGTGCAAAGAGTGTGTGTCATGTGTGTGTGTGTGTGTGTTTGATAAGGTGTAGAAAATGTGTGTGTGTGTGTGTGTGTTTTGATTTGTTGAAACCATGAGTGAGGGAGAGTAAAAGAGAGGAAGAAGAAAGATAAAAAAAAAAAAGTACTTGGGGGACTCCATGCCAAACCAAAAGTGAGAGAAAATAAGAAGAAGGTGAAGGTAAGAGTGTGGGTATGTGTGATTAAAATTTAAGCATGTGTGTTATGGGTGGGTTGTTTTATTTTAATTTAATGGGCTGCTTTATTTTAATTTAAAAACAAATTTTGTGTGGTTTTATTTAAGTGTGTTGAACATAATTTAGGGGTTTTTTAAATGGGTATTCAATTGGATGTGAAAAAATGTGAAAAATGAATATTTGGATGCTTCTGGGGCTAGTTTGATATTGAGGTTTTTGGGTGTGGAATGGAGAGTTTAGGGGTTCAATTAGGGGGGCTATTTTGCATGATTTAATGAGTGTGTGAGTTTAAGTGTGATTGATTTAAAAGAAACATACGATAGAAATGGGAAATGAATGTTGGTAATGCCGAAACCCTGATTTCTAAATATTATTATCACTTGTATGAATTTTAATCCAAATGATCCAAAATTTTACATGCTGCATTTTAATTGATGTTTGATGAGAAAATGTAAATTTCGAATGCAAATGAATATAATATCTAGCACGAAATGTACGAAATGCTGAAAGTATAGTTTTTGGTATTCGAGGTCGAAATGTGTGAAAATGGGCCCCCGATCAATGTGTTTAACCTACTTATTATTAATTGTGATTATTGTGAGTGATTTTAAAGATTTGAGGAAGAAAAGTGATCCCTAAATCTAAATGTGCCAGTATGTGAGTGAACAGTGCGGTAATCGGGGTACTTTGGGTTGAATCATCTTACATGCATTAGTACATGATTAATTATTCAATGTGATAATATATGTTGATATTGTAATTACAAATGTGTTAGGTGGAACAGGTAGGATAATTGGTTTAGAAACAAATACGGAAACATCGAAGGGATCCACCGATAGGTCCAAAGGCTCATAGCTCAGTACACTTGAGGTGGGTGTATATCTTTATATGTTTTGAAAATGATATTATAAGATGATATTAGATGATAAAATTTAATAGTATTTCTCCAGGATTATATGTTGTGTGCTTATGTGATTGAATGATACTTTGTACTGCATATTGTGTATTGTGTATTATGTATTGTGGCGCAATGTTTGAAACAGGAGTGTTGATGCCTGATCATTGGGAGTGTAATGGTGTGCTAGCACTGTGGTGTTCCCGAGAGGTTAGAGAGACACGAATCCATGTGAGATTGATTACCCGATGAGGGGTAGTATGGATATGTTGTGGCTTGTGAATTCTTTAGAATTAGATTGATGTTGTTGTTTTATACGTATATTTATGTAGTATTTATCTACTTCTATGTATTATTATCATTTTCATTTCATATACGACATGTATACTCACTGAGTGCATAGTTTAACTCACACCCCTATAGGTTCTCATTTTCAGGTATTATAAAGGGAATTACCGATCAGACCACTGTCCAGTTGATAGGGTACTGTCTAGTGAATTGAGTTCAGTCCAGAGTCGTTTAGCAAAGTTGGTATGATATTACTCAAGTTGTATATTATATTGAATGAGAGATTGTTATAACAGGTTAATGATGAATATATATTTTTATAAACTCAACAAGCATATTTGTGATGTATGCTATGTGGGTGTGGAATTTTA